GCGTTATTTTTGCCCACACCTTTACTGGGCATTCCTTATTCAACATTCGTTTATACTTGTTGAATTTCTGTAAGAAAATTTTGCATATTAAAGTACGGCTGTAAGCTTCCTTACAGCCATTTTACCCAACCTGGGAGTTGTTCTTATGTCTACCGCATGCCCAGTAAACCGAGCAAGGACAAAGTAGCACAAAAATCCTAGTCTTTTTATACTTTTGATACAATTGTGAGTGTGAAGGCATAAAAATGCTCTTGTTTTAATCGGTAAACAATTCTTCAGTGTGGTCCAAAAAGTAGTAGTATTGAGAAATTATAAAATGTACAGAATTTTGTCGCCCATATATTGTCAGCGGTACCGGTGTTAGAGAATATGATCTCAATACCCTACGTTTAAAATCTTTAGACTGATTATCAATAAAGAAGCATCTATCTCTTCGTAACGCCGTATTTGAATTCTAGGGTGTCAGAGGATGCAATCCATCTTATCTTAGATCGCCCTTTATAACTAGAGGCCATGCAGGCATCTGTTTGTGGCCCACGCAATTCACAGAATTGAATATTCGCCAATTTTAGCATGTTTAGATCAGCTCGAAACATTCTATTAAAATTAACGTCAAATAAAAGGTTCAAGTTGTGTGTTTTGCCCTCTATGTAATTATATCACCATTGTCATATTCATCATATTTGTAATTGTTCACTACAAGCACACTTAGGGGATGTGACAGTAAAATAATTATTACGTAGTTGTTAGCACTCATCCAGCAAATATATGTGAATAACACAACAATGGCCAAGGACTGAGTTGGAGCAGGTCAGAAATATTGAAACCTTTGTCCAGATATAGCAATTAGGATGGTAATGGTGGGGTTCTAATGACACTTGTCAGTAAAATATTAAGTTATTTGTCCGTTGTCTGCTTATATTAAAATCAGGCCATTTATATATCAGTTGTCAGTAGTTCCCAATTTAGTTCCCCGTAGCTTCGCAATGAATTTATCAAGTGTATGTTTTTTTTATATTCAGTGTTTTGATGTCTCCTGAATGTGAGCTTCCTCTTCTTTTTCCATCGTTTTTCTTAGCATTTTCTTTCTTTAATGAGCCCACATTATGATCTGTTCTCACTCGACTTTCACCAATGAAACCAGAAAAGAATGTCTTACCTTGGTTTAAATGGCGTGAAGTTGTCAGTTTGAGTTGTATGGTGGCGCTTTATGGTCTTTCGCTGATCGCTGGAACGATCTGACTATCGATCATGCCAGACCAGTGCTTTTAATGAAAACAACACCTCCTACAATTCGTTTATTAGCTGTATGTTTTTCATTAGTGATAAATATATATTTTTCATTTATATTTAAATATATTTTCATTGTGTTTTCAGGGGCTCTTTTGTTGTCTTTTATTTTTTTAATTTAGATTCTTTTCCGCTTCATCTCAGGCAGTTAATGACTTTTTTAATATCTATTGAATGTTTATTTAGACAGAGGGATCTTAAACCAACAGTGGTTCAATATAAAATTGAATTAGGAAATATTGAAATGTTTTACCAATGCGCGCACAAAACTCGCTCTATATGCTAAAAATAGAAATACGTGTCAACTGTATTCGTTATAAGATGATGTAATGCTAGTTTTTATGTGGCCGTGTGAACGAGCAGCATTTTAATGTCTCGACAATCAAAACAAAATTTTGAGTTGTCAAATGACATGTCAATGAACATGGCGTATGCCTGCAAATAAATACTAATGACATGTCAATGAACATGGCGTATGCCTGCAAATAAATACTAATGACATGTCAATGAACATGGCGTATGCCTGCAAATAAATACTACCATTTAAATATTGCCACATAACAATTGCTCGTGTAGATGCGGCTTATGTAATTTATAGGGGACGATCGTCATAGTTGTAGTCCCATTTAGCATAACCGTAAGTATTTTAGCCAGAAACGTTTAAGTTCATTAGCCAACCACGCCCCATTTACGGGTGTACAGACTTTGCACTGGTGAACTAAACGATCCTTCTTTTAACCACTTGATTTAGCACATTAAAACTTACTTACCAATTCCATGAAAGATCTCTATTTGACAACAATACTATTGTTATCGATTTCTATTAAGTTGATGGTGTAGATGGGACATATACTATCGAATCAAAATTGCCACATAAAAATTGCTCGTGTAAACGTGGCTTTGAATCAACATCTTAGTCTGAACAGAAATGAATAACTGATTAGGCGATTGTTTTATTGTTTAATAATCTCAATGTACTTAATTAAAGTACGTTTTTACACTCAAGATAGATAGAGAAACAGAAGATGGAATTCGCGAGATAATGACAGAAGAAGAGTAGCCATCAAAGGCGTCTCCAAAAGTAGGCAATGTACAGCGACGCCATTATAAGACGATTTTGAAATAAAATATGTGAAATGTTTGCATTTACGCTTTTGCATTCTTATGGAAAGCAAACTTTGTCATCATTTATATTTACAATGCAATCAAAGAAGAAAAACTAAAACATTAATAAATAAAAAAGGCGTGGATAGAGGAAATGCGGGAAATCGGCTCATCTTCCATGTTTAATCTGTACAGCGGAGAACAAACCTAAAGTTAATGCGTGTCTTGCGATCATGACTGGACTTTCCATATTTTCTTGCCCTCTAAATCACCTTATATTTCAGAAGCAGCTGATTTCAAGATTGGCACGTTCATTCAGAAAGATTTCCAGCTCTATAAACAGTCATGGTATCGTCTTAACTGATTCTACAACTTGTAAACAATGAAACATCACTTCACATTACAAGACGTGACGGCCATTTTGTCATTGACAAGCGATTGAATCGAGATTGAAAATGTTGTCATTTCAATGTAAATTGAATAGGAATTCGGTGTATCTGAGGTAAACTCTGCTCTTGCTATTAAAACAGCTTTAGGCCTGTTTAAATTCGACATCCTTAGCGGGCAGTTGAAAACGTTGTGAAGTGTTCTTGAGACAACTCGACTCGAAGAGATGATGTTTTCTTTCTTGCTTTTGGTTTTGCTTACCGCTAAAGCTATTGGAGGTGAATTGTAAGTATATGTTTTTATGTGACGTTTACAAATACTTACACAATCTATAGGTTTGATGAGAAGAATTTTTGCTGATACTTTTATGAATTAATAAGCTAGTTGAATTGAACGTAAATTGCATGAAATTAATTGTCTTGGGACATTTGTGGAATTCCAACCCATGCATTGTGAGTTTCTCACAAATTTTAAGGGTTTGCTACTTTATAAGCGTGCTTTTACCCTGTACTAGAAATGCATGCTTAGTTTAAAAGAGTAAATCTCATAATATGAGCGTGTGAAAGTCAGAGAGTGTTGTTATAAGACAAAGATTTATTTTTTATTATTTTCAGAGGAAAAGTTGTGCGTACAATCCCCAAGAATGAAAAGGAAGTCCTGTATTTGAACAGCCTCGCTGACAACAACGTATGTACCTGATGCACGACGTCCTAGATACTATAGAAATGAAAACAAAACAGAAAAAGGTGTCAAACAAACAAAAAAGAAGCGGAAAGTAAGAAGAGAGAACGAATTGAGAACATAACGTGAAACGCGAAGAAATCGGAGAAGACGGAAGAAGAAAAAACTGAAAAACAAGACAGGTAAAATCAGACCAAAGCACGACAAAGACAGCGAATATGAATAACAAAAGTCAAAAAAGTCACTGAAAATTAGATAATTCTAAGGGCGCAAGGAAAGGAACTGAAAGGCAAATGATAATATAAAAATGTGAAATTGACTGAGAAAAAATAGAAAAAGGCAAAAGAATCATGAGGAAACGTTGAATGAACTTCACGTATCAAGCACATTCCCTCCGTAAATAGCATTCAGCTATATCTCAAAACGTTGGATACTGAAGATTTTCAAGACCCGAATACATTGTTTTGTTAGTTCTGTCGCCGTTAAGTTATAATCGTAACTCTTCCCTAATAGCTTTCACCTGATTCAGCTATTTCTCAAAACGTTAGATAGTGAAGAGAATGTATTTCAAAACCCGAATACATTGTTTGTTCTATCGCCGTTCAAAAGGGGTTTGGTTTCACAGTGATTATATCACCTCCGTTCAATCAAGAACTTCAATGTAAAGAATTAGTATAGGTAATAGCATGTTTTGTAGTGGTATATGGGAAAAATACTAACGTGTGATATTTCAAAATTGTAAAACAAAATTTCACGAGCGAAGAGAGTGAAATTTGTGACAATTTTGAAATATCACAAGTGGTATTATCCCAAATTCCACGTACAAAACATGCTATTATTTGTTTATAAAATCGTTGACTAATAAAATTGTGCAATTTGAAATACCACTATTAAAGGATAAATACCACTCCTCAAAGCCAATCAAATTACACAATTGTATATTCCACCATGATTATAAAGTTTGTAATTGGCATTTTGTAACGCAGGTTTGATATTAACAATTAAGCAGTCTTGGAATGCACTGAGCAGTATTCATGATCTTTATTCGGTCATTTCTGAAATAGTTGTGTAAATATTTCAGGACGTCGATTTGGATTTCTGGACGCACCCCTCCCATGTGGGTCAACCTGTTGACATCCGTGTGACCAATGACAAATATGACACGCTGACCCTGTTACTGAAGGCTCAAGATCTGTCATTCAAAGATCAGATCTCTGATGTTGATGAAGCTGTTGCTATGCAAACTCCTGTCGGCGAGGCTAGGTCGTTTGACTATAATAACTATAACAGGCTGCCTYAGGTTTGTGCGACTAGGGGAAATTGCTACTTCATGCTCAACTTCTATTTTACAAAATTTATTTTCTCAGAAATTATCCTTATGTATGTGACCTCCATGGCACGTGGTTGGAACAAATTAAACGTTAGCTTGCGTCGTTGAACGCATAGAGACAAATATTATCATAAAAATTCTATCTTTGATATTTCTATCCTGTTAGATTTATGAATCATATACATCCAGACTGCTTCAGAGCGAATAGTCATATTCTTAATATTTCAAATATATAATCTCGATATATTACACACGGTTCTAATAGAGCGTATTTCATGCGCTTTTTTTGATGAATGTGCTTCACCAGTGTCATAGCTCATGAACCAAATAGTCGACTTCTTCACTGTTCCTATAGCGGTATCTTGAAAGGTAAGCGTTCCTTTGCATTGGTGCGAGGCGACCGTTGATTGTACGTGCAATGTTAGAAACCTTCTTTCACTCCTACAGACAATTATTCACTGGTAGGTTGTCTCGCTTTGATAAAAAGGCACAGCAACCTTTAAAAGATGGCGCAGGGAACCGTGAAGGAGACTATTCGGTTCATGAGGTATGATAGTGGTCATCAAATGTTCGTACAAATTTTCTGATAAAGTTGAAATCAAAGATTCATACCTTTTCCGGCGAACGTCGTTAAGTGACTTGCTCGTGTTCACAGATTGAACAAGAAATCAAACGACTCGTTGGAGTTGGTTCACGGATTGCAACATTGATCGACGTTGGAGGATCTTATGAGCGACGCCGAATCTATGCAGTCAAGGTACATGCAGTCGTCGTCATTTATAAAACTAGTATAGTCCTTGTTAGGACATATAGGTTATATCCCAGGTAGATATTCTCAAATGTAGTATAGTCCTTGTTAGGACATAGGATATCCCAGGTACATATTCTTAATGTAGTATAGTCCTTCTTAGGACATACGATATCCCAGGTAAATATTCCCAAATGTAGTATAGTCCTTGTTAGGACATAGGATATCCCAGATAGATATTCTCAAATGTAGTATAGTCCTTCTTAGGACATAGGATATCCCAGGTAGATATTCTCAAATGTAGTATAGTCCTTCTTAGGACATTATATCTCAGGTAAATATTCCCATGACGGTAATGATATAACGATCGTTTCGTTCTATAGCTAAGTTCTGGTTCTGGCAAGAAGACTTTGTTTATGAACTGTGGTATTCATGCCCGCGAGTGGATTACCCCAGCAACGTGCATGTATATGCTAAGAGAGGTAGGGACAAGAAGAAGAGCAAATGGGGTCTGTTCGTTCTTCTAAATCACTATTCTTCCCTGGGAAATGAATTATGAGCTACATTGTTGACAATATTCTTACAAGAAAATGTGGCGCTCTTCCTTCTTTGAAATAATTTTGTGTCCTGGCAAACGTTTTTAGGTCAAAAAGGCTTATATAAAGTTTTTTTATGGTCAAAAACGGCTTATATTTTTTAGTTAGGAATTTTTTTATTTTCTTGGCAAAAATTCTTAGAAGTATTCCTTGCCTGGAGAGTTCTTTTTTCCTGAATTTCGCTCTGGCCAGCAGTTGTGACTTACAGCTGGCTGAGATATAAGAACAGATACATTTCTCTCAGAAACTCCTCGGCTTCTACAAACTCCTAGATGATTTCAAAAACATCTATAGACTGAAACCAAGAAATATTATTTTCCTCGTTTAAAGGCCCAGTTTGCACCATTATGCTTTGCGCGCCTCTGTTATTGTTTTGATTTACACCAAAATACTTCTAGTATCCAAATATCACCATAAAACGAATGTCAGATGGTTGAAAACTCTAATATTAGAGTTTAAAGTGTGATGGTCAAAGATTCGAAACGAACAGTACAAGTTGCAGACTTTCGGTAACTGAAAATGACCGCCTTCAGGCCCTTTGGGCCCCAAAGCAAATTGGTGCACACTGGGCCTTTAAAGTTTGGACGAACTAAATCCATGAAACAAAGATTACTAAACTAATAACTACAAAATAATGTTGATTCAGTAGACAAATAACACAGAGAAATCAAAAAAGTTCCTCACTAGGTTTGTACTATGTTTGCTTCATGGATTAAAGCGAAAACCGTTGCATCGCGACCTCTTCGTTTCGATGTTTGTTTTGATTTTGTTCTTTCCTTCGATTTAAGGGGCGGAGATTTTCGCAAACTCGTTCAGTTATTGGCTGATTTGCAGCAAGCTCCGCCCCAAAGTCACACAAAAACCTAAATCTTAATGATTTCTTCTGAACACTGAATTCACGATGCAACGGTTTCTGCTGTAAAAGTGCGGTCATTCTACCACAAGCATATCATACTAAAATTTAGATATATAATAGATATTTATCAGATTTTTATCAACGTCATTCGTACATTATGACGTTGTCAATGTTATTTAGACATTTTGAGGTTATTAATGTTGTTTGTACATGACGTCGTCAATGATATTCACACATTAAGACGTCATTAGTGATATTCACACGTGACGCTGCGAATGATATTCAAACATTATGACGTCATCAATGATAATCACACATTATGACGTCATCATTGATATTCACAATATACGAAGCTGTCAATAAAATAGGATGGGAGGACAAGAAGGACATCCATATAAATAACACTGTGTTCAATCTTACAATTCAGATTATTACAAAATATGGTTCAGACTCGAGTATCAACGCCATACTTAACAAACTGGACGTGATAATCATGCCTGTGCTAAACGTTGATGGATATACCTACACGNTAGTGATATTCACACATTATGACGCTGCGAATGATATTCAAACATTATGACGTCATCAATGATATTCACACATTAAGACGTCATTAGTGATATTCACACATGACGCTGCGAATGATATTCAAACATTATGACGTCATCAATGATAATCACACATTATGACGTCATCATTGATATTCACAATATACGAAGCTGTCAATAAAATAGGATGGGAGGACAAGAAGGACATCCATATAAATAACACTGTGTTCAATCTTACAATTCAGATTATTACAAAATATGGTTCAGACTCGAGTATCAACGCCATACTTAACAAACTGGACGTGATAATCATGCCTGTGCTAAACGTTGATGGATATACCTACACGTGGAATGGTGTAAGTAGTTTTATTGACTCGAAGAGGGGACCTGGACTCCTCAGTGTGATAAAAAACAAGTGCGATATATAAAAGTGCAAAATAGACAAGTGTAATATATATCGCGCGGATTTCTTGAATTCACTCTCTCTTGGACTGGCTCGCTCGTATCTATCAATAAAATGAACAGATACTATGCTAATTGTCCAGGGTCGTGCTAGAATGTGGAGGAAGACAAGATCACCTCAAGTAGGAGGCTGTGTGGGTGCTGATCCGAACAGAAACTACAATGCCAAATGGGGAGGTAAAAAAATTGATATTCATTTACAAGGGCGGATCCAGAGGGAGTGATGAGTTTGGTTAGCTATTCCCCTTCCCACTCACATATTTTCAAAGTTTAAAAATAAAGAGATTGAAATTATGATATATTAAGGGAAAGAAATTAAATCTGTATGGGAGTTATTCTGAGAAACAACTAGCCACAGCAACAAACTTCTCAGGGAAATTAAAGCATAGTCCATATCGCAACCCTCGGAAAGCCTTGTGACGCAGTGCATTTTGGGATTGATAAATGAGTAAACAAGTGAACAACGATGTCAGTGCTCCAGTTGTCTGTAATGTAGACTCAGTTTTCAAAAAACATAGGGAAATATTGATATTATAGTTAATCTCAGAAGCGAAAAAACAAACAAATATCAACATGCAAGGAAATACAGCAAGAAAAACCTCCAAAAAATGTACAGTTAATCAAGAATTTCCATTTACTAGGCAAATCAAGCAAAAATGAAAAGAAACATATTTTGTCTGTGGAAAAATCGAAACTTATTAGTGTTTTTACGATTTTAGCCATGGATTTGCTTTGATGAAGAAAGCGAGATATATATCCCATGATACATTGCGAAACCATTCAAAATGGCGGGCTTGTGATATGGACTATTGTTCTCAGAAGAATCTGCAGCTTATTAATACATTTCTAAACAGGAGCTGGAACTAGCAGCAATCCTTGTAGAGACACCTATCCCGGTACCAGGCCCTTCTCGGAGATAGAAACTCGTAACGTGGCTCACTTTCTGTACAATATCAGATCGAGTCTAGTAGGGTACCTCGATATTCATGCTTATAGTCAATTCTGGATGACACCCTATGGACACGCTAGAGGTGCCTACCCACCGACATACAGCGAAATGGTATGTGAATTTGTTATAAACCCCACATCAGAGAATTGAACTAGAAAAGTCCACAAAGTGATGCTCTATCACGTGATAGCTTTTGGTTGGCAATAGCAACCGAGAAGTGTTCGAAAATGATAAAAACTCGAATTTTACAGCGGGAATACAAGAATGTCTTTACCGTGAAGGTATAATCCTTTTAGCGATCGCAAGAGCGTTATCAAATTTGATAATATTCAGGACTGCTGAAAAGTCACGGTCCATTGGCGTCTCTTTCGAGCTTTTGTTTAAGTTCTCTTGAATATAAAAATACATCATCGTTATATAAGCAAAAACGAACACTTTAAACCAGGATTACATACATGAACAAATACAAAACGAATAGTTGAAATTACAAAAAATGGATTGATGATTATTATCCCTTTATCCTATATGAATGGTGATATTGTATTCTTCGATCATAAAACTGACTAAGTAACCTTGTTATTTTCCATATATGGAAAAACCCAAGTCGCCACCGCGTTGAATTTTGGTGGATCATGGCTCTTTGATTAACATCGGATATGTAGAGGATATTACATGGGCGCGCGGAGATACGCCATTCTATTTTCGAGTGTTGAAAAAGATCTCTCTCACGAGTGAGCGTATCTCCAAGCGACTATGTAATATTCTGTTTATTACATAATTACACATGAAAGTAAATTATGTCATACAATAGCTTTTTTCTTACTTCCACTATATAGAGAAACCTCGAATCTTATGTAATGGAGAAATATATTTTTTATAGATAATTTTATGATATTTTTTATTATTTTCATAAGATGCGTGTCGCCAGTATTGCCACCAGTGCGTTGAAGAGATTCTATGGTACTTCCTACAGACATGGGTCTGTAGCTGATATCATTTGTATGTACCGTTTTAATAGTTACGCTAATTAGCACATTTCGTACGTCTTGGATTCATCTTTCTGTCCATTCATCCATTATCCAAAATATTCATTTGTTTTCATTCATTCACTTTATTCATGAATTGAGAGACAAAACTGGCCGGCCAGACCAAATAAAGAATGCTTTTTGCCGATATTTTTCAGTAATTTTCAAATTTGACAGTCCGACATTATAAAAACGCCATTACAGTCAACTCTCGCTATTACGGACACCCATGGGCCGTAATTTAGTGTCCGCAGTAGCGAGAGTTCGTAGTAACGAGAGTTGCTTTCAGTCATTTCTTTGTATTTTTCGCCGGGGATTCAGTATTTTACTGTCCGCAATATCGAGGTGTCCGTCTGTACCGCGGGGTGTCCGTAAGGAGAGAGTTTACTGTATTCCATTGCTTTTATTATTATTAGCTCATTCATTCGTTTTACATTGATAGAATCCATTTACATTTTTTTACATTTTTCTTCCGTCCATTTATTCGTTCATTCAATTGTTCATCTCATTTTCATCACAGACTCTGCTACTGGAGGAACAATAGACTGGGCAGCTGCCACTCTTGGAGTGAAATATTCATACGGACTGGAGTTGCGTGATCAAGGTCGATATGGTTTTTTATTGCCCGCCAATCAAATTAAACCAACCGGAGAGGAAACGTTTGGTGCTATAAAAGCAATGATTAGAGAGATGAGAATCTAAAACGCAATAAAGATAATCATGACTAAACTATACAATGTCTTAATAAGGATAAGAATAATTGGGGGCCTGCTATCGATATTCTGGTTAACTAACAAAACGCACAAAAAAACTAAAAGAGATAGACCTTTCTAGAATTCGCATTGATGAATACGAAACAATGGTTTCAGTTCGAGACTGCCCTGTGATTATCTAAGCGAATTCGAGATCTATTACCCGTCACTTCCCCTTCGTCTACCAAAATTTCGAAATCAGACTGCACAACATCTCACAGCTATCCGCCTAGTTTGTAGAGTCCGCATTGAGCAACCTAGGTGGTATCCTTAGTTCCCGGGGGTGACTCCCTTATAAAAGTTGGTAACATGCTCGACGGACAGATTGAAAAATGACCCTAAAAGGAACGCATAAATTAATTCAGATATCGATTCCAGACCCTAAAAGGTACGAGCATTTTTGACGTCTTTAACAAGAGAAAAGCTCAAGTTTAACAAACTTAACAAAATCAATGTCGATGGTTTTTGAGTTTAATAAAATTATTTCTTTATAACATTTCAATCTTTGTTTTCGGTGTTCGAAAATTGACCCTTAAAGGTACGGAGTCAGCTCAGGACCCCAAAAGGTACGCGAGGGTTTTATTTTCGACCATAAAAGGTCCGTAGAGCATACCTACCAACTTTTATAAGGGGGTCCCCCCTCCCGCGGGCGTTAGTTGAACTGCTGTCTACGCTTGCCTCTCATCAACAACGCTACTCATCACTTACTTAGATCGCAAGCCGGAGTTGACTTTGTTTAATGTCTTTCTCCCTTCCAAGAGTGATTTTATTTAGCGATCCTATTTATCGAGCTCCCAAAGTCAGACTCTAAAAGTGAGATAAGCAGTGCAGAAGTGCCGGGTATGGATTGTTTGTGCTGTGCATGTAAATAGGCGGAACTTAACAAATCAATGTTCAATATAACTGATTTTTTATCACTGGTTTTTCTCAAGTCTCAAACTCATGTTCCAAAAGTGAGCTAAGCAGTGAGCTGATGTAGCAGTGTCGGGTATACATTGTTAGTGTGTGCTGATCTTAAAAAAATGTTTGTTCGATATCATTGGTTGAGTAATGCTCATCACGTGATAACACCAAACCAATGTGATTGCTTCACAATATCTGCCATGTTGTTTTTTATAGTGTAATGCAAAAATGCATGCTAAAAAACTATTTGTTTTTGTAGGTTTAGTAAAACCCCTGCACTAAAATAATACTAATAAGAGTAGAGAAGGGATTGAGACTCCCCAGTCTCTGCTAGACTGATGCAGTCTGTCTTCTAAACAGGAAGCCAACGGACGGACGGAATAGATGTTTTTTTAATACGCAATCATGGTGCATTATGGTCTATCTTCAGTACAAACAACGCTATATTTGGCAGCAAGAAGAAAAGATGTTCGTACCGAATCTAGACCACAATGCAATGCGCTATGCTATTTCAGAAAAGATATAGAAATGAAAAAAAGTTATAGTGCTGACACGGCTTAAAAACGCGTGATTGGTTGATTTGATATCCCTGATAAGCATGCGCTGCTCACTTTTCCGCTGAAAATACGCGGGCTCAATCATTTTTTTCTTACACGAGGCAATCAAAATGGCGGACGTTTCTTGACGAACAAGGAACTATAGTGCTTAGAAGGAGGCAATTCCGGGAGAAAGACCTTTAGGATCGGAAAAATTAATTTCCGACCTCGCTGGGATTCGGACCCACGACCTTCGGATTTGTACTACCGATGCATACCAGCTGAGCTACAAGGCCAGACGGGCCATATAACTTTCTTTCATTTCTATATCGTGTCTATCACAGTGCCATGCGGTCCTTAAAAAAGGCCTATGACAGTGATAGTATTAGAAATATCACTAAACATTGATCACGCTAGAGAGTATGCTTTATTTAAGTACGTTTGCATAACAATAACTTAACATTTAATTACTGACAACTTGTTTCTCTTAAAATTTCATTGCCTCGACCATAGCTTTGATCGACGCAAACGTTTCGATTCCAGTTGGGATGATTTGATTGGCTGGTAGCATGAATCCATATCTACCTGTGTCACGCAACTCCAGCCCGTAGGAGTATGTCACACCAAGAGCTGCTGTTACCCAGTCCATTGTACCTCCCGTAGTGGCGTCTGCAAAATAAAAGTTTTGACTCTTCTATTAGCCACCAGTAGCCGCTATTTTGTCGGATGTTTTTATATACGGTGAAGACTGTCTTGCGGCTCAGACACTCGTATCAATGTGATATGAAAGTCTGCAAAGACTTTTATATGACTGTTATCATATCATCGATTGGACCAAGGGATGTCAAGGTTATATATAGAGGATATTACATGGGCGCGTGGAGATACAGATTTTATCTTCGAGTGTTGAAAAGATCTCTCACGAGTGAGCGTAGCAAATAGCATGTTATATTCACTAGGGAAAATAACACATTCAAGGTTTCTCTATATAGTGGAAGTAAGAAAAAAGGTATTTTACGAAACAATTTGCTTTCATGTGAAATTATATGATAAACAGAATATTACATGGTCGCTTGGAGATACCCACACTCGTGAGAGATCTTTTCACACTCGAATATAAAAAATCCGTATCCCCGCGCGCCCATGTAATATCCTCTATTTCACTGGTAAAAATAAAAACTTTACGAAATGGAGAAATATAGGTATTTTATAGATAATTATATTATAAAAAGGTATCCTTTATCAAAAGAATGTGACAACTTACAAATGATATCTGCTGATGTCCCGACCCTGTAGCGTGTGCGGTATCCAGCATTATAGAGAGCCGCTGCAGCTATGTCGCCAACACGCTTCTACAAAATGGATATTAAAAAAAAAAAAAATCAATATTAACTCAACAAATATGAAACGTGCAAAAAGATCACGTCATCAACACGGGCCGAAAAGGAKCACGGGAAGACTGATGAATGGGATAATAATATGCTTAATTCTTAAATTAAAAAAGAAAACGTTGCCCATCAAAGCTACGAGCAATGAATGGATAAAATAATTAACTAGCAAATAAACTACTGACGTGAAATAATTTTCAGACCTCAGGCCTTATATGTTATGCACTGCTCCCTGACAAAGTTGAGCACTTTTTGAAAACATTTTCGATACTGAATTTTAAGTGATGTATACCTTGTGTATCATCCTAAGTGCGCTTATACATTGCTCTAGTGCCATCAAGATATTTAGCAACAATAAAGGAAAAGGAAAAATGAAATAGAATAAAATGTAAAATAGATTAATGCGTTTTTGGACGATTCGACATCAGCGATCCAATCTAGTTTCAACACGATCCGCCGCGATATTGAGCTATCATATTGAAACTATACAAAATCTGTCAATATTGTCCCTTTACCATTTCGTTGTAGGTAGGAGGATAAGCCCTTTTAGCGTGACCCCAAGGTGTCATCCATAGTTGACTGTAAGCATGTATATCCATATACCCAACTAGCCTCGATCTGATGGAGTGAAGGTACTTGGCAACGTTTCGTGATTCGATTTCGGAGAAAGGATAGCGTCCGTGGTATGTATCACTGCAGGGACTTGAGCTTGTTCCAACTCCTACGTGAAAATAATTTGAAAATTACATCCTCCTTATGAATACTCATTTTTGGAATAGACCTAATCGGCTAACGCGTTGCTATGACGTTTCCACCCAGTTCAAACTACCCGGGAGTAAGTTTCATTGTTCGCTGTATTTTCATTTCGCAGTTCATAGTTAATAGAGAGGTCCTCTCTATGCAMAGTTGAATTCTTAGAAACAAAAGTTCTTTTTCCCACAGGATTTGAATTGGACGGTAACGCGTTAGCCGATTAGGTCTATTGACGTTTATTAAGCCTTCTTCTTGATCTATAAGCGTAGGGGGGTCAGGGGGGATGAAATTGTCTGCGGGTGTTGCTTAAAATGAGGAAATTCGCTGGAATGGTCCAAGCATTTTGTCAACGATTGTAGTTTGCGTGTAGACCGAATTTTCACCCCGTCAATTTTTACCCAGCATCGATAATTCCGGAATTAAACCTTGACCCTGTTCCAGAGAAAAATCGCCCCATTCATTCTTGTTTCTTTACAATTAACGCCTGCGCACTTGTACCTCCCCATTTGACATTCCAGTTCCTGTTAGGGTCAGCTCCTCGACAACTTGAACCAGAATTCCTCGACCTTGTCTTTCTCCACATTCTTCCCTTTAAAAGAACATCCATGAACGTAATTTATACTTCAAATGAAGAATGAATTATTAGAATGAATAATACTAGTTTTTAATTTTTGACTGGCAGGGTTCGTTCGGGTTTTGGAAACTGAGTTTTGGAAATCAAAATTCCTTTTTCCAGGACCTGGAAAGTTTTGGAAAAACTATTTTTTGACCATCGGGCTGTGGAAAAGTTTTGGGTTTTTTTCTAAGACATCCCACCTTTGAAAGAAAGTTCCTGTTGTCCTGTCAATTCGATAAAAATGCCGATTTCTTCGCTCCTGTAAATTCATTTTTTTACGAAAAAAGCCAGCTGGTTTCCTTCAAGATTGACCAACGTAGACAGAATTGTATTTTATATGTTTTGGAARTTTATGTTGATGGCTGTGGAAAAGTTTTGGAAATTTTAACTCTGGAATCTCTACGAACCCTGGACTGGGCATAGACTTGAATGTAACAAAACCCTATTCTCCAATTGAGTAGATTTCCGTAGTACATTATAAACAACTTTCGATGGCAAACTATTTAGTCATATGGAACTTATGGGGGACAAATAGTCCGTGATCACTCAAACTTGACCTGACAGTCCGTATGAAGTGCCAAATTTGACGAAAAAAGGCCAGATTTCAAGGCTTTTTGAAGAAATGCGGCGACATTAAAAACAATCCTAAAAACCTAGCACCGGATTTAAGAAATAAAATCTATATGCGACCTTTCTGGGTATTTTTCATGAGAAAATGCGAAAATCCAATCACGTATTTTTGCCCTTGAAGAGTTGAGGTTGAGCATTAAAATAGTATGGCGATCCATGTTTTCACCACAGTTCGCTCCAAAAAACTGGGCCTCGCGCATAACTTATTTTGTTAATAAAAAACCTAGCACCGGATTTAAGAAATAAAATGTATGTGTGACATTGCTGTGTATTTTTCGTGAGAAAATTTAAAAATCAAATTACGTATTTTCGCCTTTGAAGAGTTGACGTTGCTTCGCATCCGTTTGCGTTTCGGGATTCCTGTCCCGACGATGAACGGATGCAAAGGAGACTACTTCTGTAGGCACAAKCAACAAAAATCAAACTTGAATTTTTCAAATTATTGCTTTCTTATTATATGTTGAAAATGTACTCAAAACTATGCAGTTTTGTGTTAATTCAATATTTGAAAAATTTATATCAGTCAGTGAACGTACTGTGATATTATATGTACATGTACTTTCCTTTCTAGAGGTGACTTTGCTATTAAYAGTATTTTATGGTCAGATGATGATGTTAATGAGGTCGATCGACGACAAAATATTAATTAACTCCATTGTATTATATTTCATGAAGTAAATAAATAAATTACATGCATATATACATGCATGCATGGATGCATGAGTGAGCCTGGACAATAATCCAAGCAAATGTCACCCGATGTATGGCAATAAGTTCCATATGTAGAATTATTAGTTTGTAACTCGGAAATCATGGAGTTTGATAGCAACAATATTCCATTTCAGTAATGTAATGACTGTTTCACATTATTCAGTATTCCCCGGTTTTTTTTCAGTGTCACAAATGAACCAAAATTCTTCTATATTCTCCCCCCGGATTCTTGAGTGTTGTTTCTGGACTAGCAGCATTGTATTGTGGGAGAAGGGGGGCAGTTTATTTCTTTAGATCACCCTCCGTTTTTACAAGGCTACAGTGGACAAAACCGGGACTCTAGGTAAATACAACTTACATTATTTGTCCATGTAAAAGCGTATCCATCTACGTTCAGCACAGGCATTATCACAACGTCCAGTTTGTTAAGCATTCTGTCGATGGTCGAGTCAGAACCGTACTTGCTTATAATCTGGACAAAATGAAACATTGATATAGAGTCAATTTCGTATATGAGTGGGAAACGTACGGTAGAAATTACCGCACGGTTTACCGCACAGCTACCGGACCTGGCCTGCATAATTTTTGTGAAGCAATCGTGCACTAGAATTTGGTTACAGTACGATTACGGCTACAGTACAGTACCATCCGTTTCCCACTCATACGAAATTGACTCTGATTATATACAGGATATTACATGTGTAATATCAATGCATGTTACGGCGGATCATAATTTGCAAATTGCCAAATTATAATTTGTTTTTCAGAACATCCAGTATCCGCTGCCAATTACCACAACAAAGTATTGCCTGTTTATAGAGTTTTTTTCCTGTATTTCTCGCTAGTAAGCAGTTGTGACTTAAGCTGGCTGGGACATAAGAACAGATATATTTCTCCCAGGAACCCATCGGCCCATCAAATTATGACGGGTTATATGTTAGCGTTTGTAACACTACGCTAACGGCTGTGATATCATGATCAAAGTGGCCATGTATAAATATTAATGATGTATACTGACCTGATTCAGCATATACATGCACGTTGCTGGGGTGATCCATTCGCGGGCATGAATACCACAGTTCATAAACAAAGTCTTTTTACCTGATCCGGAGCTCAACTATGAAAGAGGTAAAAACGGCTTAAAAAGAACACTTTTTATGATATTTAAAGTGCTACTTGCATGAAAATGGCCTTATTTCAAAACTTCAAGCAATAGAAATATATGACTCTTTTATATCTATTAAAAACAATTGCGGGAAAATATTTGTCTTGGAATTATCCCACATCAGAGAAATTTTGATTCAAAAGATGGAAGAACAAAAGGATCAGAGTAAATGACGTCATCTACTCCAACATTTTTTGCCCAAATTATTAAGGATTTGCATCAATATTTTCTTGAAATCTGTTGCGTCGTGATTATTACACCCATATGGATAGGTCTATTTGATTTCCAAGTCTTTTCTAATGTTTCGCAATTTTCGTCCAAGTAGCCCTTTAAAAAAATATATCGAAGGCCTGTAGGCTGGGGGTCCGGTAGGTTCGGACGAACCCCCCACGACTGTTTCTCTTCTTTTATTGTTGTATTTTAAAATTCTTTTCTTATGAACTGGTCATTCTAGCAGCCAGTTCTTGCACACTATACCTGTGCATTTAAACATTTAATTTAGGTCCGCATTATGAACTCCCCCCCCCCCCCCCCCCCACCCACCCCTTCCCCCATTTCAGGCAGCCTACACGGGCCTGTATCTTGCGCGAGCAGATCTATCCATTGTTAGGTGTTCTCCCTCCCTCCCCCTCCCATTTCCCATCCGGCTAGAATTTACCTTAACAGCGTACATAGGCCTTTTTTCATAAGAGTTGCCAACGCTGAATTTCTGGGCGATGTGACTCCCTTTCTGGACAAGGACGTCTATCTCTCGGTTGATCTGCAAATAATTTATGAAATATCAATGAATACTTTTAACGTCGTACTGTTTAAACGGGCCTTAATACTAATACAGCTGCTATCTCGAAATCTAGTGATTTTGTGTGAGTGTATCTGTTCTTTTTCGTTGAAGTTGTTTTATTTATTACTTTGCATGTGAAAATTTTGGACTTTTGAAGCCAAAGAATTGGCTAAATATGGCTGACCACATTTATTTATCAGAGCTCCATTATGGTCGTGCATGGGGAACATTTACGGAATCGTTGCATGCAACCATATGAATAATATTCAAACATAAAAAATAGCGACAATCGTTTGGCTTGAAAACACGGAAATCCTAAAAGGTACAAAAATATGTTCGACCAAAAGAAGAATACCATAACTAGTGCTGTATATTTTGAAATGTTATTAGCGAAATTAGGTGAGGCTTTAGACTTTTAAACAAAAGAGAACTTATTAAAAGCTGAAGTGTTACGGTGGGTGAAGCGAAGCGTCCAGGGAAGGATCCAGTAATATTTMAAAGGTGAGGCCGTCACAAAAAAGGCCTGATATTTTGGCGGGAATTCGCTTTCTTCATCAACTTTCTAATCTTCGATCGAAAATACAACTATGATAAATAAAAAAATCAAACGGCAATCAAATGTTATTTTTCGATGCTTTCTTGTCGTTTTTTTTATAGAATTGTTAAAAGAAAAAAGTTGGCACCCCTCCCACTCCTCTCCTAAATCCTCCATTTCCACTAAAGCGTTATAGTACTTACACTGTCAAGAGTGTTATAACGAGCATAATCAAATCCACCAGATCGCATATTGTTTTCAGGTGGATTTTGCCTCGCATTTAATCCGTCAACATCGGGAATAAGAATGGTAAAAACGATTCCTTGGGCATGCAACATTTTTGCCAGATTTGGATATTGTTTATCGGCAACTCTGATATCCACAGCGCCGCCGATSTGGGATGGGTGCGTCCAAAAGTCAAGATCTGCCTGTAAGAGAAAATAGACTTGTATTAGCTTTAAACTGCATGTTTATCTTGACTTATACTTGAAAATGCCACTTATCAACGATTATAGCGTGAACTTTAGCGTTTAAAACTGACTTTGGTGCAGACTACTTATAGGTAAAACACAGGTATGATCGTCTCAAAAGACTGATCAAAATTACCGTCCTAAAAGATAGCAGAAAAGTATGGACCTTTGCAAATTTTAATTTTAAACATGATAAAAGGAGTTGGTTTATGTGATTTATTAAAAAGTGGCGACCTCACAAAGGACGTTTGGCACTCTAAAACAAATACCAGACAGTACAAATTTCCTAAACTTTCAGCGGAAAAGAAAACAAATCTCATGAATTCAACCCTAAATGATGTTGATTACACTCTAACTGGGCCCCTTCATTGATCAAAGCGTTCCACCTTTTCAGTCAACTTGATCACGTGATTTATACGGTATGACGTCATTTGTCTACTTACATCATTATCGGCCAACTGTGCCAGAAAGTCCAACTGCGCCTTATCCTTTGGGGTAGCCCGTATCACTCGACCTCTGCAATTTATAGTATAGACGAGCATTAATCACATGTTTATAAATTTAAGCGACTCCATTCCCCATCACTGGAAAAAATCGCGCGCCATAAAGGTTGTAAATTTGATGGAAATATGATGAAAGTGTCCAAAATGATGGAAATTTGATGGAAATAATTTACATCAAATTTACATCATTGGACACTTACATCATATATACATCAAATTTACAACCTTTTAAGCGTGCGATTTTTTCCATTGCATGGGACTTCTCTCAAATACAAAATCACGTTGCAACACCATATTTGGTCGCATTAACGGTAGATGCTTGTACCCAATCCTAGCAATGCGTTTTAATTTTTCAGAAAGTGTTTGAGGCATGATGAATCATCATAGAGAAATAGGGCAATTGGAATACTATAGTGGATGCGTGACACACTTGTGTGACAAACTCTATAATTGTCTACAGCTATTTCACAACGGTTGTCGGTGTAGAAGGGTGACTGCACAACCGAACAACACCATGAACTTTTTGATCGACAAAAAGAGCACATAAGCAAACTAAACAAACATCTAAGACCTTCCTTTATAGGAAAAAATAGTGTTTTGTTATCATTTGCCTCTTCTTTGTATAAAAATGACGTTTTATTGAGCTTTTCCTCTGGAGATCGTCAAAGCCTTAGCTTTAAAACGATAAAATGCATTGATTTATTTTTTTATAATAGGTCGGCAATTCATCAGCTTTTTTGTCCATGAATATCTAGTCTCAGCATGTAATACATTCCGGACCAGTGCGGTCACAACAGGGAGATATGAGATCGCAGTTTTAACCCTCCCACTCGACTATCAAAATCGGTTCGCATATATACTTGAACAGCGATATGTCGGACTAAAAACAGCGAGACGCTATTCCTATTAAATTCCTACTTAAGATTTAGGATATTTTGCAAAAAACATTAATTAAAAATATCATTTTGTAGAAATAAACAAGATTTAGTAAATATTCGAAATTCTTGATGGCTTGCAGAACATGCTATGGAAGCTTGTAGGAGTTTTAGTAAATGAGCATGGATGGAACCAGTTTTGAAATTAGGCTTTTTCTTTATATCTATTTCTTATACTTTGAGGATAAAGTTAAAATACTAACGATAATTGAATCTATCTATGTGGCATACTTGTATATCCATGTGTCATACATGTCGATCTTTCCATGAATTATCGTCCTAATCTCATAAAAAAAACGTTTTGTGTTATACAACGTGTTTCTTGAATGCCAAAAAGATCAGAAAGAAAGAATTAAACTTAAAGAATCTTCAGTAACTTTTCTATAATCGATCAGTGAAGTCCAACTCTCTTGTGACGTCACTATTGAGAAACATTAGTCAATGATGATAACAATAATAATCTAACTTATATAGCTCTTATATATAGCTTTTTCTAAGCGCAAATAAAAAGGTAAAAATTAAAATAAAAAGTTAAAGTAGAGTTACAGATCATAAGTTTGTTTAAATAAGGTCAAATAAGTAGGTAGTGATCTTTAATAACATAATCTCTATTCCTTAAAATATCACAGTCGTACATCGGATAAAATAACATTAATAATGTATATAAGTTTCCTTCAAGAATAGGGAAGCTTAACAGTTATTCGCAATGAACGCTAGAAGGAAATCCTGAAATGCCTGTGCGGTCATGACGCTCACTCAGTTGTTTCATTTACGACATTATAGTCTTTACCATTATACCCTAAACAGCAGTGTAGAACAGCAACAAGAAGAGGCCTTATAAACGTATGCTTTCCATGGTTTAACCCAATTATCTTACATTTGCAATGACCGAATGATATACTCAGATATACAAACTAAGAAAATAACTCTTTCCTCCATTGTTTCATGTCATAGTCCCTAAGACCACCGCAGACAAAAGCTGATATCAATACTTACAATTCTCCCGCATGTGCCCCAAGGGCAAAGAGTACCAATAGCCACACAGCTCTCATGTTAGCAATATTTCTTGTCGTCCTATTGCTTGTATTATCAAAGTGATTCTGTTTTGTTAACTGGTTGCAACCCCACTCACTCTTTCTCGCCGTAGTGTAAACAATCCTAAAGGTGTTTCTACACAATACGTTTTAAAGGCTAGGGCGGTAATTTTGTTGATGCCCATACGTAAATAACAAACGACATCCTTCCTTTATTTCTTTTCAACCGTTGACAGTAGATTTAATGGTCCATAGCGATAGGATCACTTCAGAAGTGGGAGTTGAACCAGCCGTGCTTGGAGTCTTGGACTTCAATAGGGACGTGGTCGGCTGAGTAATTTGTTTGTAAAGCTGTTGTGCTAGAAATCGTAATTTCAAGGCTTTTATGTATACATCGAAGTGTATGAAAAGCTAATAAACAGAAAATTGGCAATAGATTCTATACCACACATACTTAACATTGAATTTCCAAAATCTCAGTCGACGAGGGCAGACTCAAAAGAAAGCGACGATGTGTCAAAACAATATGTATTTAAAAAAAATTTCCATGAATCAAATACCTGTCTGCTGAATCGAACTTATTTGGTGCAAGAAACATCAACGATTTACTTTAAAAAATGGCCGAGTAAACATCGTGCGAAAAAAAATTCAATGGAATTCAATGTTTTATAAAAGAACAAGAAAAACATGGCGTCCTCTTCTTCCTTCCAATTTCTGTTCTTATTTCTTAACTATAATTATTTCAATTGCTTGTTTGTATTCATATTAATAAAACTGACTGCATATTAACTATCCAACAACATACACATCGGGGAAATCAATATTTCGGAAACTGCTCCCAAATTTGCTAGGGATTTCCTTGTTCCTCATTTCTGGTTTACGTTATTTCCGGCTGACCTTGGCGACAATGCTTACCACGTTAAAGCACGTTTGTCTCAGGCACCAATAGTATATGATCAGGGATCTTTTCTTATATATATTTGTGTATTATTTAGGGATCAAATTCTCATTGAGCCTTGGCATTGGGATCAGTCGAAATCGCAATCGGATCGCAATGGATCGGTATTGGGGTTTCAAGTAACACACTACAGTGCTACAGTCATGACATGTTAGATTTTCTAGCTCGTCACACACTTTTTAGGCGCAAATTTCTTTTCTAATTTGATCACTGATCCCCCAACTGAGTGTTCCCTTGCAGTTTTACAGCTGACCCCCTCCATTAGCTACCGAAGAAGTATAGTGATCAATGTTTCTTGATTTGACTTAGAAAAACTATGATCAAGAAGAAATCAAACGGTTCAAGGAGCTCACAGTAGTATACGGTGACGACGGACTATCTTAAATTGCCATCGCCAGAGTTTGTTAATTTTTCCAAGTCGACCATTTGTGAGGTAAGCCCATACATGCAAGCGTAAGGGATGATCGTCGTATCGAGGGGCAAAAATCAGGGGTCTGGTATCTTTTTGAGGTGCATGTAAAAAAGGTTTTCGTACCACCACCGGATAATCTGACCTTTTGTGACGAATCGTAATACGTAAAGATAACAAAGAATTGCCCCACAAAAGTTGTCCTTCGTTTAGCAGCCATATATGGTAATCGTACCTTATTTGGAAGTACGATAGGGATGGTTTTTGTCGATTTTCTCGACGTTTAAAGCTTGAAATCGTCTGAAACTTGCAGATATTATAGCGAAAACACTTCTCAACAATCGGCCATTTTGTTTGCTTCCATATATGGCATGGATTCGCTAAAGGAAGCACAAAGCTAAAAAGCACAGGAAGCCCGCACGAATGACATACAATTCTTTGATATCGGCAACGTCAGTCAGCTCACTCATTTTCATTGGCTTTATTGTGTCTCAATTTTGAAAAAATGCAAACTCTCAAGGCTATTGTAATAACAACATTTTCTTGTGCTTTCTTTTGTGATTGGTAAGGTCTTTGCGTGAGAGAATCTGCTGTCAAATAAAACAGCGGTTATTTGAACGGAGTATGCGTAGCATTGTCGTCCACATTGATTTACCCAAAGTCCTCTTCGATCTTAGCGTTTGATGATTTCACCTATTTGGAGCTGACAACGTTTAATCAATTTGGTGTACTATTTCAATCTATTTGCCGAGTTGATAATCAGTTTCGGACTTCCATTTGCAAATCMATGACATTTCTGGCAAAACACAAAATGGCCGATTGTTTAGAAGTGTTTTCGTTATAATATCTGCAAGTTTTAGACGATTTCAAGCTTTAAAAGTCGAGAAAATCGCCAAAAACCGATCCATACGTTCCAAATAAGGTGAAATAACAAATATGACTGTCAAACGAAGGACAACTTTTCTGAGGCAAGATATGCGTTCTCTTTTTAACCTACTTAAACAGTGGCATATCAAAGATGGTGTAAAAGCTCTTAAAATGGAAGCGTTCTATATGTCATTATAATACTATTTAAAGGTCAAATGCAACGGAAAATTCGATGAATTTTTAACACTTGGAAAAAGAAGTTCTTGCTATGTTCAATACATACGCGAAGCGAGAAAACTGGAAGATGTTTATTTTTCGAGATATCAGGGATTGAAAAGTGTTGTATTTCCGTTGACCGGTCGTTCATTTTCGGTAATTAATCGGAAGTCAGTCGGAGACGCCTTCAATGACGTCACAGATGGTGCCGGTTTTTCGACGGTACACTTCCCGCCACCAGAACACAGGCCGTGTTCGACAAGAATTTTAATGCTATAAAACGAAGAAAAACTCGACATTCTTATTGTGGGGAAAGCAGATGCCCATACTTCAACTGTCGAATCATCTACTGTCGAAAAACAACTAACAAAAATGGTAAGATTGTAGATTTTGATAGCCAATTTTGTTTGAGTGATCAACACTGAAGATAAGTTAATACCGCCGGCTTTGTAGAGAAACCTTTGAAAACAATTTCGAAAACAATTCGAAATACACGTAAGAATTTACTCAAAGATAGTATTTCCTTTTTCTCTTGTAACTAGAATCTTGAAATCCATAAAGCAAAGCATAGTTGAACACCTAAGAGCCGTGGCTTGTAATATTGAAAATGACAATATTGAAACTGACAATGAAAGGCCACATCGACATTCAAAAATATATGACGACGTCGAGATTATGACAATTATGACGACAAAGACTGGTTATAGTAGTGCTATATTATATAAGAACCACGTTAAGTGTTTAGTCTATTACAAACAAAAACAATGGACAATATTTATATCCTTAGGTCTAACTATGGTTTAGATGAAGAAGAATTGCTAAAAAAGGATAAGACCTCACATGGAAACACTGAATCATGTCTATTCGGAGAAAAGTTTATTGTATTAGAAATTTTCAAAAGTTGCCATGTATACCAGAAAGAAGCTTAGCCATCTATCACTGAAAGGAGAGTGGTACTATGATCACATTGGAGGTCATATGACTGTATGTATCAATCACATAATTTGGAATACTAACCATGCCATGGCCTTATGTCTTGCGGGAATATGCTTTTAACAGCATCAAAACTGCTCACTGGAAGTAATCCAGCAATGGTTATCATTTTTTTCAAGCACATTGGGGTTTAGGACATACTATTACATACAAAGGTTGTACCTTATTCCAGCTATAGACCCCTTGCATGTGACGTCAAAGCAGCTTCATCTGGAGGGCGAAACAAAAGATTTTTATCCTCTTGGAAACTAGAATCTATTCATTAGTCCTCCAGTTGGAGCTGCATTCCCATGAACTRCAAGGGGTCTATTGATCAAACATGGCAGAGCAATATGAGATTTGACAAGTGTTGAGGGTGATTTTGTTGATCTTGGTAGGAATGGGAGATGTGACTCACCTGGCCATGATTTGTGCAAAATATAGAGCATACCACATGTTGTCACAGTACAGAATTGTACAGAATTTCACATGCTTTACTTGTGAATGAATTCATTTGTTTGGATTTAATAAAATATGAAAGTTTAAAATTCAGTATACATGTATAACAGGATAAGGGGTTGGGAGTTAGGACTAGACTACCCCATACAAAACAATCTGAATTTCTGCCTGGACATATAAATCCAAATTCTTGAAAAAAAGGAAATCTCTACTTTCATATTTCCATATAACACCTTAACAGTTGTCATTCAAATGTATTTTATTTGAATTGGAATAATTTTGATTTGAATAACAATACTTACCGCCTATAAAGAACAGAACTTAGGCATGACATGTAAAAGTATAGAATGCCAGAACTTTATTATGAAGCAAAATAATTGTCCCAACAGATGGACTTTAAATATAATATCAGGTTCAAACTATAAGGTGGATGCTCTTAATTCCTCAGATATAAATACTGAAAGATAAAAATTATGCATGTGCTAAATTATGCTATAGTTTTCTATTCTATTTTCTCTAGCAAGTGTTTTGAAAATTTTTACTTGGCWGACACATTCTTGGGAAACTTGATATATGCACTCTAACCAAAAAGGTTTACAAATTTACAAAGCRAGTACTAACAATGACATTGACTTCATAATAAGACAGATAACAATAGCATTTAAATAATGATAATAATAAATAAGTTTAATCATACCCTTCGCATTTGTGGTCGATGATAATAAATTTAAAAATACCTAGACAATTCAACAGATATTGTAAAAGGATTTTATTGCAGCTCATATAAGAGTGAAAATTATACAAAGTTACAATGTACGCAATAAATACTAGATGAAAAGAGAAGCATTAGACCATTGCAAGAATGACCTCTTTACCTTAGAAGTAGAGCCTCCTCTCAATACATGATAGAAGAAATGGTAATTCTACAGTTTGGTTAAATAACTCAGAAATAATCAAAGAAAATGAACATTATGACAATGAAGGACTACATTGAAATCGTTAAAAACGTAATCAACATGCCTGTAGGCTGGCTTACAAATTTTCATAATGTGGATCTTAGCACAGGTATAAGCTAGATATAGTGTGTAAGAACTGGCTGCTAGACAATGAGCAGTTCATAACAAAATAACCTCAAAAACAGTTCATAACGAAACACTTTTCCGTAAATCTCACCAGCATTATAATCGCTTTCCTCTTCTGCGAACAGATTTACGCTTTTTTCATCTGTCGAGAAAGCGACAGAAAAATAGAGCTATTTTTCCTCACTTTCTCGGCGATTGAAYAAGTATCGTATTCCGAACTCGATTCTTCTTCGTCCAAATGATGGAAACTGGCGGTAAACTAGTGCTGCAATAGGCTCATATTGGTATGGACGAACTTCACTGGTCGTTCTTCTTGAGATATTATTATTTAAAACCTTATACTTTACGTAAAAATCAAACGAAGAAACCAACAAACAGCTATGCCATCGCTATGCCACTGTTTGCTGAAACTTGCTGAAACCACATCTCACCATCTGTGACGTCATCACTCGATTCCATTCCTCGCGCGGAAATATTGACGTTCTTCGGAGTGATTTCGGAAGTCCAAAAGTAATCGCTAAAAAACTGAGGTAAAACTTGAAGAAATTTGCTCAAAATGAAAATATMRCHTTCTCTTGACTTWAAGTTTCAWTTSAAATCGTAAAAATAGGATTGGTTTTTCCGTTGCATTTGACCTTTAAGGAAAAATAAATATTGTGCGTACGACATATTCTCTTAGTTATTGAGCCTGGGTTACCTGTGTGCCATCCGTTGGAATATATCTAATTTGCATCTCATTTCCTTATTTGGGACAATTCAATTTACCCTATAGTCCCTATAGCCAACCAGAACGGGCCTTCAATCTCTTATCCAACGGCCGAATTTTCCAAATATGGTCAAATATGGTTTTCAAATTTTTAATGAGCTTTGAATATTCCGACGCTTGGTACTAAAGAAATGTGCGGACGCTACACGTTTCAAGTTCCTTATAGGTGTTTTCTGTTCGGCGAAAAAAACATGGAATAACATTGATGACGTCTTTCCTGACACATAATGCAATGTTTTTACATATACGAACCAATTGCACTCACCAGATATAGTTTTTCAACGTGTGATGGAGAGAATGAAAACTAATTTTTTTTTCGAAGCGATTTGGTCGTTCAAATCATCGTGATCGTTCTTCTACAGTTCAAACAGTGGAC